GGTTAGCAAAGTTTGTCTTGATCACTTTGACGAGGTCTTTCTTTTCTGCCTTTCTTCTGCTTTTACAATCCCAAGGTCCTCTCTGTTCCTAGACATGGCTAACAAGGGCTAGAGCTGCACTAAGGGCTCTGTCTGAAGCTGAAGTCGTGAGCCTGAGTGCATTGGTAGATCTTGCACTCCCATCATTCCAGGTGACCAGTAATTCCCAGGTCCCATCACTCCTGGTTACCAGTAATTCTAAGGTCCCATAATTCCAGGTGACCATTCATTCCAAGGTCTCATCATTCCTTGTCACTATTCATTCCAAGGTCCCTTCATTCCAGGTGAGAAATTCTTGGAAACAGAGGAGTCTGGAAGTCAGATAATAAAGGTCTACATCAGAGAAAAGGCTGAAACCAGCAGGAACCTGAGTAAGAATCAGATGCAAGCAAGAGACATAGGGTAATTTCAGAGTAAGGCCGTGAAGGATTAGCCCTCCCTATCGAAGGATGACTACAGTACTTTATGTCTCTTTCACAGATGATGGACTGGGATCTATGTCCGGTCTGTTACTTACACTTTCTTTAGCATCTTTGCTCATATTCTGACCCTCTTGATTCAGATTCCTGCCCACCAGTAGTCTTTGCTCTATCAAAATAGAAAATGACTTGAAATTAAACACTACCTCTTGGATTATTATAATTCCCTATGAATTATCTTCATGCCAAATGCTTAAAAATTCTACATGTGGGATGAAATAATGTGTTTCCCATTAATATTCTCAGTGGCAGATAAAATATTGTATGTATATATTCTTAAGATGGATGGTTGGATGGATAGATAGATAAAAAATCTGACCATGAAGGGAATGTTTATCTTCCTAAAAAAGGATTTTCTTATTTATTACTTAGTTTGCTCTGGGTAGCAGATGTGTATCTATCAAGACCAGTTTCCAGCTGCCATGTGCTCAAGACACAGGTGCGATGGAGTCTCGACAAGAATCATTTCCTACATGGATGGGTTAGGTTGGTCCAGCCCCACCCTGTGCTTCCTGACCTACAGGGCCTAACCAGTCACATCTCCTGGAACTTTGAAATTTCAAGCAATTCCTGCTGAGAAGCCACCAATTAATTTTTTAAAGTATAATTTTTAATCCCTAGATTGGATTGCATTAAGTTAGCAGGTTCTCCACAATCTTCAGATAATACAAAAATCTTCCTTCATATAAATGTCCATGGAACTGGCAATTGTTAAGAAGCTAAATATTAGATCTCTGAACGAATTATTCTATAAATAGTTGTTTAATATTTATGTACAGTGACAGATGAAGGTAAATGATGAAGGTAAATTTTTCTATCATTAGAAAGCAAATCGTACAGAATTACTTAGTTATTTTTCTCTCATCAAATCTTTCATAAGGTGTTCAAAACAAAGTCCATGTTCGGGGAAGTAGGTACACACTCACATATATGCACATGCAAGCTCAGTGTACATGTGCATATATGCACACGCACACACACACACACACACACACACACAGAGAGAGAGAGAGAGAGAGAGAGAGAGAGAGAGAGAGAGAGAGAGAGAGAGCTTTTTATTCTACAGTCTGTGTGTTCATATGGTTTTGGTCAGGCCAAGCAATTGGTAACAGAGTAGAAGGCATGAAATAATTTATAGATTCCAGGAAGTTGCATCACACCATGCATTATTTAGTTTTAGAATTTTAATAAGGGTTGTACATTGCCAGAATATTCATCAGAGGAAGGCCCATCAGTCCATCATAGTCCATCAGTTCCTTTGGGAACTGTACCACTGTCCTCCTCTTCTGGATATGCAGGAAGATGGCTGACTGGCATCAGTGAACCCTCGGTGCCCTTCAAGGGTAGTTTCTGCTGGATGGTTGCCTGGGAATCTTGATCCGTCACCTGATTGCCCACATTCCTACACTCACCATGAAGGAGTCAAATCATGTGTCAGAGGAATGGGTGGCATGGGTTTTGGCATGTGGTGCCAGAGTTATATATAACCTATTGTGCTGGGTGCTGGGTGTGGGTGAGAAATTCCTTTTAGTCTATCCTGAGCGAGCGACATTAGGATTATTTAAGCTATTACTGAATGAGTCTGGAAGATGTTTTCCTGCTCTATGCTATTGTCAAATAATCAAGCACATCGAGAAAGCCAGGAAACGATTCCCTGACCAGCACATCAGAAGGGGAGCTAGTGGTTTGAAAACCCCTTATGCTGGAAGAAGTGTGGGGTACAGTTTTCCAGAAGTGGGTTGTGAGTTATGAGGAGGTCTGATATGCTTGTTGTCGTCAGTGCTTTCACGAAGGGAGAAGAGTTGCAGACTCCAGGTGCCGCCTCTTTTCTGGCCTCCTTTGAACTTGGCCCGATCTGTCATGAGTGTGTCCTGGTGTGTCCTGGGTGCAGTGCATCAGAAAGCCAGCGAGACATGCTTGTGTGCTTCCACACATGTTGGAATTCACCGAACAGTAGTAAACTGGCTGAAATCTGCCAAGTGGTCCCCTTTTCTTTGATAGCTGGCCATTGACAAACCCAGGCTCTTTGTATCACAATCTTAATGATAAATACTCACTTTTAGGTCACACGTTCTACATGACATAGTAATTATATCTACATGTAGGTTACAGAATGGCTACAGATGGGTTAGAGAGATGATGGCAGAGCTCAGGAAGGAGGCAGAGCTGACAGAGAGATGTCACTGTGCAGGCAGGTATGGAGGTGTTAGATGTCAGCACAGAGGCAAGCCAGACGGCGGTTTGAGGATTGAGTTAGACCCCAAAGGCGAGGTCCAGGACCATAGATGCCAAAGAGGCCAGCCTGTGAAATGAACAAATGGGGGGCTGACAGTGGCAATTTGAATTGGCTATCAGCAGTAGGGACTGAGCTAAACTGAAGCCCCAGGCACACAGGAGATCTCTACCTGTTGGTCCCGTCATGCACACACACAATGAGTAGTCAGATAGTCAGATGGCAGGTTGGTGGAGATTATAGCAGCATACTTTTCTTTAGGGGGGTCCATGGGAGGATGCTGCACCTTTCCTTGGTCTGTTTTTCTCTGATATGATTTTAATGCACCCATGTATTCTTCTGGTCAGTGTATAGTTTGGTAGGTTTATATTATAGCGGGTATCTTCTTGCCTTAGGGTTTGGTCTGTGCTTTGTGGGATATGCTGAACGGGGGTAGTGTGTTTGTGCCCAAGGTGCAGAGTCATCTTGCATTTTTCACTCAAAATGGAGCCAAATGTTGATGGCAGGTTAGAGTTACCTAGGGCAAAACACAGTCTAAAAACACTGTTTTATGGAGCAACAGAGACCAGCACAGCCTGATATCAACATGATGGATGTGCTTTATGTGGTTATAATGATGTTATAATGAGACCAAAGTCCTCTGGTGTGTCGACATCCTGCCTGGTCTAGCTGGCTTGGTGTGTCTCACAGCAGGTAATATAACCGGGTGGTGGGCACTGGGAAGCATGTGCCCGTTGGCATCGATGTAACTTTGCATGTAGAAGAGGCCATACTTGACAGGACAAGGGGCTGTCAGTAATTTTGTTGTCTAGGCTGGCGACGAAGTAATTTTTTTTTTCTAGATATTTGAAGCGTTCTGCATCCGTTGGCTCAAAGAGACAGAGCGAGGTTAATAGACAAACATCAAACAATCGGGAAGATTGTCAGGAGAGTCGCTGGAATGTTAGACACAGATGCTGTGCTGGGTGGGGTGGGGGGGACTGGGGCCTAGGAGATTCTGTCTGAAGTGGGAATAACCGAGCTGGAAAAAGAGGAGCTGGTCCTACCGACACTGTTACCCAGAGTGATGACAGGGTCCAGAGCAGGGCTCTGGCAGAGAGATGCGTTGGTGGAGCAGGGCTGGAGGCCTGGAGGTTCCAGAATGGAAGGGGTCTGAGGCTCATCAGGGTGAATATGAGTATTGCTTAAGATGGAGGTATGGTTGGTATGGAGGGGGAAAATGAGAACCAGATGTGTCTGTCAGTGTGATGTCGTTAAGTTCGTCAAAAGAATCCAACTGAAATCCATACCCATGAAATCAGAAGACAACCTTCCTAGCTTAGAAAGATTGTTTTGACATTGGAAGCAGGGCTCAGAACTCAAATGATTCTCTGAAAATTCTGCCTTAACTAACATCCCCCAGTTTAAACATCAGCGATAGAACAAGACTGACAGACTTCCACTTGTATGCCACGTAGTTATTATTTTCGTTCTTAATCATCTCTTACACGGACCAACACATGATCCTTCATGGGCCTCACTTCCTGGATCTGTCCTCTTACAGCAAAGGACACTGGGAAACTTGTGAATCAGCTACCACATCGGATGTGAAATCTGCCCGCGTGATACTGTGCGGAGGTGATTGAAATGTGGAGTTAGTGATGTTTTTGTTTAAGATTTTGGCTCTTAATATTTTTTTTTAAATTTTTTGCATCTTAAAAGTAGTTTCACCTGCCAAATGAGGGTTGGAAATTTACATTTTCTCTGGGACTTTTGGCATTAAGTCATGGTGCGCTTTGGAGAGTGGCCATGGCCCATTACGTTGAAAATTTCATAGCTAATTTAGAGTGGCCTGGGACTCTTAGGAAATACATTCTAGCCTTTCTCTATCCCTAGACATCGGGCTTACACATTTATTCCGAAAGGCTGTGTGCTCAGTGTGGCTGACCAGCATCAGATAGAGCAGCTTCTGCTCTGTCTCTAGACCCCGAAAGATTAATAAGAGGACAGAGAATGTCAGAAAGAACTCCCAGCTGAACCTTCAGCTTGAATACCCAAAGGAACAGTGTAAAAACCCAACCTTCCCGCACACGTAGAAGGGTCAGTATAGGCAAATACACCTGCAAATGTGTAATAGAATGTGAACAAAGGCAGCCGGACACCTAGAACATTCAGTGGCAGGCCTTTGTGTTTGGTGAGGGACCTTTTGTGCCTGTCCTTCCCAGGATAAGATTACGCGGCCCTCACGCACTTGCTTCTCTTTGCTGCAGGACATTTGTGAAGATATTTCCGACCATGTCGAGCAGATCCACGCGCTCCTTGAGACAGAGTTCTCCCTGAAGCTGCTGTCCTATTCGGTCAATGTCATTGTAGACATCCACGCAGTCCAGCTGCTCTGGCACCAGCTCCGAGTATCCGTGCTGGTCCTCCGGGAGCGCATCCTGCAAGGGCTGCAGGACGCCAATGGCAACTACACCAGGCAGACGGACATTCTGCAAGCGTTCTCCGAAGAGACAAAGGAGGTAAGTGGCCTTGGGCAGCAAGTAATGCTTTGTTTGGTGTTTCCCTTTGAAAACATTTTTAGTTTAGAGATGCGAGAAGGGGGTTTTTGTAGATAGGCGAGCAGGTCTTTGGCTAGGGTCTGGGTGGACTGAGTAGAAACAATGGTACCGGTAGTATAAAGGGGGCTTTTGACATACAACATAGTTTGTGTAGATGTCATCCGTAGAGGTGTTAGCACTTTCTGACTTCCTACCTCCTCTTCAATTATTTAATACATATTTAACACTTACTATATTCATGTGCTAGATACTAGAATATGATCCAAGCAGCATTTCTAGGGGCTGGAAGAATGGCTCAGCAGTTAAGAGCACTGACTGCTCTTCAAGAGGAAGGTTCAATTTCCAACCTTCCCATGGCAACTCAGAACTATCTGTAACTCCATTTCCTGGTGACCTGACACCCTCTTCTGGTCCCAGTGGCTACAGACGTACATAGAGTCTACAGACATACACTTGGGCAAAACACCCATATACATAAAATACACCCCCCCCAAATAAACCATTTCTGTTTGTGAGGGGATTTGAATCTAGTAGGGGATGGAGAGAATTGAGCAGATGCTGAGGCCAAACAATGATTAGTCTAGAAGACGTAGTAGGATGTCAGAGAAAGAAGCACCTGATTGATAAACGAAACGTGCTTGCCCCAAAGGGGAGGCAGGGTTAGATAGAAGATGGCCAAGACAGAGGGAATAGCAGGATCAAACCCAAAGCAAAAGGGGTGGGACTACGACAAAGCTGGGGACTAAAAGCAGGATTTGTGGAGTCCAACAGAAAAGGCAGAGGTCAGATTATAAAAATAAACTTTTAGAGCCACAGTAAGAGAATTGGATCTTAGCTAGAGGACAAAAGTATTATTTGTTGAAGGAGCCTGCGTGGTTATCTTCCTGCTGCAGAAAACCAATCTAGATCTAGCAAATCAAGCAGGGGCTATTAGAATGCTGTACAGTAAGGTCACTTTGTTTTCTCGTGTATTTTGTGAGTCCATTGTTATTCTTGAGGCACTACTTGAGAGTGGACACAAGATGGGAAGTAGTCAGTGGTGGGTGCTTATGCCGTTCCCAAGGCTCCATGCTTAGTCCCCATTATCAAAACAGAACAACAGTAACAACAAAATCCTGAACTATGGGCACCCAACTCTAATCTAAATGAACTCTATCATCCTCAAATACAACTGACATATATTCAAGGAGTATTTGTATAGATATAGATTCAGGTAGAGATGCAGAAACCATGGACCGATATGTGGCATTTGTCTTACAGTTCTATGGCTCTTGATACTTAGTTTAGTACTTGGCTATTACCTTTTCTTTTTTTTTTTTTTTTGGAAAACATTCTTCAAGTTTATAAGTCTCGTGTAAGATTAAGGCGCTTCTTACTAAGTGTTGTAGAATTCACTAGTTTATTAATGTTTCAGTGGCTGCTGAATTAGCAACCCTATGAAACAAATCTGCACCTATTTTAAACATGTTGTACTCCTACTGATTTTGTTCAAAATAAATTCCAAATAAAGATGCCATTGCAGAAAACCCATGCTGGCTTTAGAAGTCTGCGGGAATCCAGATCTGCTGTGTTCTCCTCGACGTCTGCAGCCTCCACCTGCAGTTAGAGCTCCTTGCTGTTGTGGCTGGAGCTGTGAGGCAAAAGTAGGGGCTGTGTTGGCTTTCTGGTGCAATGGCTTCCCAAGTCCCAGGGGCTCCCAGGTGCGACTCTCATGGCTGTGGGAGACTCCGGGCTCCAGCTGACTGTCTTTCTTGGAAACCGACCACCTGTGAACATATGTGCAGATGGAAATCAGGGATGAGGGGTCTGCATTCTAAAGACATCTTTCTTCAGATTCGTCTCTTTCTACTGCTGGAAGGGACATGTAAACTGATTCAAAGAAATTAATTTTATATATTGATTTGCTAAGTATAAGTGGGTTGTTCACCAGATCTTTGTTATAGGAATTTGAAGATACAGCAGTGAATTTATCTTGATTGTTTTATGGATTATAATTTGCATTTGACCTTGTAACATTCATGAAATGGAAACACACACAAAATGGGGAAAAAGCAAATGAAGCTAAGTGCTAATAGCTAACATTTTCCTGACGACGTCGTGCGATTGCCTCATGAAGTATCCATTATGATTCTTATGAGGAATACTAAAAATATATTTCTAATTTTATTTGAAGCAGTTTGGTGCATTTTTATATCTGAGGACAGTTTTGGAATTCTTGTAGAGAGACAAGAACACACAGCGTGTAGGGTGGAGCACAGAGGCCTTTTCGCCGCTGCTTTCTGGGTGTCTATGCAGATCAGGCTCTGCCTGTTCTCACCCTTCAGGAACCCTTTCTAGTCTCATTTGTTCATGACACCAGAGAACCAAGGGATGTTTCCATGTTTGCCAGAACTGAGACAAGGGCAGGGAATTCAGAGAACAGTCTCAGAAGGCATTCAGTGGTGGGAGATTCATAGGAAGAAAATAAAATTATAAAACCATACACAATAAAGTGAAACACTGATAAACTAGAACCCATCCAAAGAAGGGGATTCATTTTCAGAATCCGTTTGAATTTCAGAGCCACACAGAAGGGGGAAGAGTGAGCTTGGAAGGCGAGAAAGTGGCAAGTTCTAATAATTTGAGTCTTCTTCTCTATTTGAATATAGTAGACTATATATAAGAAACAAAATGGCAGGTATGTAGTTAAAAATCAAACAAACCAAGCAACTAAACAAATATGTAAAAACACATCTTTGAAGGAAAGCTCAAATTGTACAAATTGTACAAGGGCCCTTTTTACCAGCCGGTTTCTTTTTTCTTTTTATTTATTTATTTATTAAAGATTTCTGTCTCTTCCCCACCACCGCCTCCCATCCGGTTTCTATCGAGACAAAGTACCACCAGCCTGTGAGCTGCATAAGGACCAGCTCTTCCACGGCATGATAGTCCTATCACTGTATGCAAATGTCTGTAGATTAAATGAAGCAACTTAAAGCAGATAACCGCTGCTATAGGTGTAGAAGGAAGGGGTATTACATTAGATGGGTGAACTGGGAGTCAGTCATAGTGATTGTCTGATTTATAATTTCAATCTACAGAAAATGAAAATTATTAAGAATTATTATGCGATTGAATGATGTTGATTTTTTTTTGTATATTTCCCCACCATCCATGAGAATGAAGTTTGCTTCACTTTTTCCTATCATACCCACTCTTTCTCATCCATGGATGCTCTCTGGAACTCATCTAGAATCACAGTCCCTAGTGACAAAGATGAAAGGGCCATCGGTCTGAGGGTAAGGGTGTGGGTAGGTGGGTGGCATGTTGGTAAGAGGACTGTGATTTTGTACAACAGAGATAAAAACATCTGGAGCATTATGTAGTGAGATTGTAGCATCTGGAGAAGAGAGGAGGGGCACTGCTGAATTGGGGGACAAAGGTAACAGGCACCGACCAGCCGAGGGCTCTGATATCTTAGTGGAACTTGTTAACAGGAGCAGCTTCTGAGTTAGCAATGCTGCACCTCCAGCCGCTGACAAACTCTAATATAGTACCAAGAAGAGATGTAAGAGCATCTGGGCCTAGTTAACTTAATTACAGGTAAGAAACAAAGCCTGGTTTCTATCCAAATTAGAAAAGATGCAAGTGAGGCTCCTTGAAGCAGTTGATAAGACTGAAGCCAATAATAAAGCAAATGAATCACCACTTACATACAACGCATCCTTCATTCAAGAGCAGCCTCCTGACATGGGGTGTATCTGAGGAGAGGCATTGCTGGGCAGCTTGGACACAGCCCTCATTACCAACAGTATGGGCGATACTTCTGGGTTCTAACTGTGGGAAAACCATCCCTTGGTTCCAAGACTCATTGCTTACAATATGTCCGTGATGTGGCAGGAACCAGCAGAACTAAATGGATGGCCCTTCCTGAGCAGACTTGAAATAATTGAGCTCATCAGTCATCTGCATGAGAAACTTCAGGGAACTTTTTTCCCCTTAAAATTGCCTCTGCAGGGTCAACAGTCTATAATATATATATATACTATATATATATGTTATATATATATAGTATATAGCAATAAGCCTAGCCTAACATGGGCCAGGCCATTGGTTCAGTTCCCAACATGAAACCCTCCTCTCCTAGCAAAAGGCCACTGTGTAGTGATAGGAGCGAGCGGGGCTGCGTCCCCGGCACCCGGCCGCCCACATGGCTAGCTTATGCCCTGAAATAATTACACGGAAACTGTATTCTTTTAAACACTGTCTGGCCCATAAGTTCCAGTTTCTTATTTGTTGAAATAGGAAGCGGCGGGGCTGCGTCCCCAACACCCCGGCCGCTTGGCTAGCTCATGCCCGAAATAACAACACACAAACTGTATTCATTTAAGAACTGCTTGGCCCATGAACTCTAGCCCTTACAGGCTAATTCTCGCACCTGGACTAGCCCATTTCTAATGATGTGTGTAAGCACCCCAAGGTGCGCTTACCGGGAAGATTCTAGCCTCCGTCCATCATGGTGTCTCTGATCCAGAGCTGTCGGGTCTCTCTGGGAGCAGAGCAGAGTCTGACCTCTCTTCCTCTTCCGCCCAGCATCCTATTCTGTTTTCTCCTCCCATCTATGCTTTAACCTATGAGGGCCAGCCAAGCAGTTTCTTTATTGCTCAGCCAATGAAATCAACAGATTGATATGACACTCCCACATCACTTATTGGCTAGCTCTTACACATCGATCTAACCCATTTCTAATAATCTGTGTAGCCCACGAGCTGGCTTACCAGGAAAGATCTTAACCTGCGTCTGTCTGGAGTGGGAGAATCATGGCGACTCCTCGACTAAGCTTCTTTCTCCCAGCATTCTCTTCTGTTTACTCCACCCACCTATGTTCTAACCAATAAAATGGGCCAAGGCAGTTTCTTTATTATAATTAACCAATGTCCTTCCTCCATCACCACTGCATAGTAAAACCTAAACTGGTTTTA